CCCCCCCCATCCCATGTGACCTTCTGCAGCGTCGCACAGGCGCTGACATCATCATTTGCATCAATGCGCTAACGCTCAAATAGCTCCTGCTTGTGCTCAAACTCAGATATTTGGTTGCTTGGATTTTCTGAACTCCGGCTCGCTCTCGGATTTCTCGTCTGCTCTTTGTTTTGTTTTTTTTAGTCTGGTGAAATTCCCCAACCAATAGAATACCAGGTGCAGTGATGTCATATTCATTTCATCCAATAAACAGAGGGATAAGCCCCATAGCCAAAAGTATGTGGACACACATTGCACATTGAAACATGTGACGTGACGTCTCTGCTGCTGAGGACGGGTTCGTCTCCGGGACTCGTCTCCATCACGGCTCATGAGAGCAGCAGATTTTTAAATCAACGTGTGCGTCGTCATCAGGTACACAGATGAACGAGCTCCTGTCAGACGTCAAGACGACCATCAGCTTCACTGCAGAGACGCGTGTAGAGACTGACAAATCGACCAGAGCTGCAAGGACACACACTCTGTCTCTCTGTCCCTCTGTCCCTCTGTCTCTCTGCCCCTCTGTCTCTCTGTCTCTGAATGAATATGTCAAACGTCTCCTCCCTTAATCAATGTTAGACGTTCAGATGCTGATCTCTGTAACTCGAGACGATGAACAGAGTCCGGCTCCGGTCCTGACGAGTCCTTCATGAATGTTTCTCGTGTCTCTAGATGGGAGGAGGAATACACCGCCAGGATGGACCTGCAGGAGAAGGTGGCAGAACTGGAGGAGGTAAAGAAATGTTACCACGACATACATGTACCGAACATACGTGATCGTGTGGTCTGCACATGACTGAGATGTGTGTGTGTGTGTGTGTGTGTGTGTGTGTGTGTGTTGCAGGACCTCCAGGAGAGTGAGGTGTGTCAGGATGAGTTGTCTCTGCGGGTGAAGCAGCTGAAGGCCGAACTCGTTCTCTTCAAGGGTCTCGTCAGTAACGTAAGTGTTTCTCTCAAATGACCAACAGGGGGCGACTCCACTGGTTGTTTCTATAGAAGTCGATGAGAAAAATATAATATCTTTACTCTTTCTAAGGATTTTTTTTCCAGTTTATTCCTGAATAGTTATCATCGTCCACCAGCTGAAAAAGCTTGAGATGATTTTCATGAAGAGTTTTTTCTGTGTCTCCATCAGAACTTGTCCGATCTCGACAGTAAGATCCAGGAAAAGGCCATGAAGGTGGACATGGACATCTGCCGCCGCATCGACATCACCGCTCGCCTCTGTGACGTCGCCCAGCAGAGGAACTGCGAGGACATGATTCAGATCTTTCAGGTTCGTGCGTGAGACGACTAACGCGTTCAAACCAGTAATAAACCAATCAACCTGTCACTCCGCCCCCAGCAGGTGGCCACGCCCCCCTCCACTCTGAACCGCCGCGCCAGGAAGCCGAGCGGCCAGTCGGCGAGGGGCGGGGACGCAGACGATCTGAGCGTGTCCGAGAGCGAGGGAGGCGGGGCTAAAGACGAAGAGTCGTGCAGCACGTCGGCCAATCAGATCAACGAGCAGATGCAGAAGATGCTGAATCAGCTGTAGGTGATTTTCTCTTTGGACAAAGACGAGGTTTAGAAATCATGTGAATTAATGTGTGTGTGTGTGTGTGTGTGTGTGTGTGTGTGTGTGTGTGTGTGTGTGTGTGTGTGTGTGTGTGTGTGTGTGTGT